TTGTACTCACGTCAAGCGAGAGATGCAAATCTCCCAGATCCCGCAGACTCATATGCATATGATACAGAATGATGAGGAGAGCGGTTGTCCTCTTCCCCTACCCGACAATGTCGTCACTGCTGGCGAATTTCATCATCAGAATGACATCCGCTCTATGACGGTGCTGCTGGAAATGTCATACATAGCCAGTGCTATCGCCGCCGTGAGTCTCTGGGATGTCGCATTCTGACGGTTCCTCTACCAATCCATAAAACTGCAAAGACACAACGATGTCGCACCGCATTCAAAAAATACGTTTTGGCTCGTGCTGTTTGTTGCTAGCCTACTCACGCTATCCTTACGCCCATAGAGATATAAATCAGTTCTTTTCCACATCATCCTCGCTTGATGTCGCTCATTCGCCGCCTCCGACCCTCCTGCCTCCCGAGCGAATTCCAGCCAGTGATTGAACGACTCTGGAGTCAGGGTCTCCCGCTTTTCGACATGTCCAATTCCTCTTCCTCCAAACCAGCCGTCCTGGAATGAGATGACCCTGGACCAAACCGATGACGATAGTTATCAATGGTTGATTGGATTCGAGTATCAGATGTCCTTTTACACGAACGAAAATGTGATGGACATATCTAGTCCGTCCGCCATCAGCACAATAAGCCATAGCGGGATAAGCGATGTTGTATTGGATGGTTTGAACGAACCCGCGCTGGCTGGGACGAAGACCATGTGGCAATCCCCCATAATGGGTCCTTCACAGATGCTGAATCCGTTTGAAATGGATCCATATGGTTTCGTCTTCCCGGATATCACGAATGGGCCCATTCGTCACCTCAGCTAGCTTCCCAAACAGATCAATGACGGTTACTTCTCTACACCACCACGGGTGTTTTGGCTCGGTTATTACACTCGATGATGGTATCCTATGGCTCGATGCCGTCGTGGGGATCATTCAGTAGTATGTCGACAACGCACAGATTGCGGTTCGACTCTTTGTAAGTTTCCCCCATGAACTCTGCTATGGTCGCCAGCGCACAGGTCCTTGATAGAATTCGCCATAGGCTCGTTGCGGTTCACCCATGCGGTTGTAGCATTTTCGGTGATTGGAGACGCCTTTGCAGCAACACAGATAAGCCCTGGTAATTGGCAGTATCCCCTCAATTATCGAAAGGCTCTCGAAAGTACCTTGCCCCACATGACCCCTGTCGCATGACAGGTATATGAGGGGAATCCAAAGATGCATCATTAACCATTCTCGCCAAAATCGTCATACAAATCATTTCAAAGTCATCTATGAATTCTCGATCAATATCGGGCGAGGCCTTTAATGCATATGATGATAGCAGCTTCCTCAGAGAAGATATCAGCCGCCGCGAGCAAGAAGGGGATAGCACGCGGCAGCCCGATTTTCCTCCCGCCACAGACCGAGGCTTCAATTTTCAACCTTTCAAGGTGGAAAGGCGCGGTCTTAAGGTCAACCAACTGCCTTAAGAGCCCCTATACCTCTTCCAACACTTTGTGCCACTTTCCTAGTTAGCAGCTGGACTGAGTATACCAATAGCTGAGTCAACAGCTTGCAAGAAAGGGGGATCATAATTATTGATAGCGAGAACCACGAATTAAGAGAGGGGTCAAGACTATAGGAGTGGAAGCCGACCTCTTTAGCAGAATTATATGTTTGGCTTGGGATCCTAATTTATATAGGAATCCACAAAGAAATCGCGATTGAAGACCATTAGAAAACCCCTGAGCTAGAGGATAAGCGCCCTGAACACTCAATTATCAAGTTTATGACCTATAAGCGATTCCAGCTCCTTCATCGGCACCTTCACCCCTTTGACTATACTACGTATTACGACCCAAAATGGCTGGACACATAATGGGACGGGCCTCGAGTAGCTAAAGCACTTTGATCAATGCACAACTAACTCATCAACTGGTCCTTATCGTCTAATGATCCTTGATGGCCACGAAAGCCACCACCCGGCCAACTTTGAGATATATTGCGAGGAGAACAATATCATCACACTCTGTATGCCGCCGCATTTTCCCCACCTGCTTCAGCCTCTTAATATCGGGTGCTTTAGGCGGCTAAAGAAGCCTTATGATCGAGAAATAGAGCATCTGATTAGAAGGCCTATAAACCATGTTTCAAAGACCGAGTTCTTCTCGGCCTTTTACGCCGCTTTTCAAGCCACTATAACCGAGAAGAATATTAAAAGGGTTTTTAAAAGAGCTAGGCTTATTGCTTTTTACGCGGAAAGTGCGATCTTATTTGTAGCTTGATATGCAGCTATGGACTCTAATGCCTGCCGAGGAGGGGGCTAGCCAGGCTAAACCATGGACCTCAAAGACACCAAAGACTATCCTTAAGCCAGTCTTATTCTGAATATCCTAAAAAGCGAATCAGAAGACATAAAGATTGCTCACCAGAGTCAATTATAGGAGCTGTAAAGTCTAATACTAAAGCACTAAAGGCAACTCTGCATGAGGTTACCTTATTAAGGGCTGAGATGTAAGACCTTCGAGAGGCGAATGAGATACTTAGCCGGCGGCACAGAGCAAAAAGGACCCGCCTACAGAATAGAGTAATGATACCTATACAGGAAGGAAGGGATCTAATTGATCAGATGGATATAGATATGCAGGTAGTGGCCGAATGGTCGAAAAATGGTGGTCAAGGAAGGTCGGCGCGACTGGGTGTTCGGCGCTGTGGTATATGCGGCAACACCGGGCATAATGCAAGGACCTATCAGGAAGGTATTAAGGCCTCCGCAGAAGAGTATCCCTCAATGCATATGACGACCAACGCTTCATCAGGGAGGATAACAGCAGCCGGAACCATGAATTGAAAGACCGGTCACGGTTGCAAAGCCGGAAGTCTACATGCGCCGCAGAAGTATTTATCTGGCTTAGGGTCCTAATTTATATAGGAATCTATAAGGAAATTACGATTGAAGACCATTGGAAGACTCCTAAGCCGGGGGAGCAACGTCCTGAACAATCTATCATCAAGTTCATGACATATGAACGGTTTCAACTCCTTAATCGTCACCTTCGCCCCTTCAATTATACCAAATTTACTGACGATGAGAGATTCCCTGAGGTTTTTCGATGCGCACAACCGTGGTCTAAGCACATACAATACCATGCGATACCCCTCCACCGATAAGACCCCTCTACCAATAAGCAAAAAAAAAGTTTCCCCATACAAAATGCATTTTTTCAACCTCATGAGAAAAACTTAACAAAATTAGCAAAAATAAACTTGTTTTCAGTATTCAGATTAGAATTCAATATATTTTAATATTTTTTTTGGCCTTTTAGCCTCACGGCCTGTATGAGTGCGTACAGCGAGTAACTCTTTTACCTCCGAGTTTGAGCTTTCTTCCTCTTCCATCCCTTCCACCTCAATCACATTCTCAACAGCCCCTGCCTCTGGAATTGCTTGATTTGGCTAAGAAATAGTTTCACCAGCGACTAGAGCATCGGCTAATGTCATGAACTTCTCGTTAGGATTAGGTATGGCCTTTCTCTTCTTGCCTCTACTCAACCGGCCGACTTCCTCCTCCATACCGGCGATTCATGCAGTTATCGAAGCTATCTTTAGAGCTCCCCGCAATAAGCTGACTTGGAGGCATTGAAAGCTCTATTTTATAGTGGTTGGAGAACATTATAGTAATGAACTGCTAGGTAACAATAATATATGTTGTTAAAAAAGCAGGTATCGATCCACTGATCCTGGATTTTGAGTCAGCGACATTTATGTTTCAGACCAGGCAGATGCTCACAGAAACATGGCTTCTACGGTCATCTAATATAATAAGCCTGGAATTAGACTTATCTTCTGGCCGGATTTGAGGCAGATAGACCTCTTTGAGCCACTCGACTGCGATATGGTTGTCCGTCGAGCCGTTGTCAGAAGTGATGGAATACTAGTCAGCTATCTTCTTGCACCCATTGATAAACTCTTGTTGCTGATGTCCTTTGCTTTAAAATATAATCCCGGGTTTCAGAAGACGGCTATCTGCAGTCACGGCTTCGATAAAGTTAGTCTAAACGCGGGACTGAGAGCCTTTGAGGACGGCCTTCCTCTTCGGATCGCTACTGCCGATAACCAAGGAATCCAAGCCTAGATTCTGGAATGGATTATTGAATTTTATGATAAAGACGTTAAATACCCACCAAATCCCGCTATGGTACCACCCTCGTCAATATTAACTGTGTTCTCAGGCTTGATCTAGCTATACTCGCGCTCCTGGATAATCGAAGTGCTAATTAATAGCCATTGGGGTAAAAGAATTGAGACTTGACGACTCCTGGCGTTTCCCTATCTTCATGTTGATAACTGGATGACGTTTCATGAACCTGGCTATCTAATGCGCACTGATAGCCCTTCCCCGGGCCTCGCTGTCTTAAGAGCGCAGCGACGGTGGCGCGAACTTGGCTGTGAGAAGGAGCATAGCTCAAGGCATCTTGCCGAAGTATCCAGGTAACTAATCTGGATCCCTGGGACTTGGATAATAGTTGGGCAGGATGGGTGACCTCAGACTTTGATGGTATACCTCTTAATCAGCCCGAAAGAGTCGGCTGAGGGATGTCATGCTTCTGGGCGGCTTGGTTATGGGAGAGGCCGTTATCCGCGATATCTAATATTTCTTTAATAATGCCATCCTCTGTATAAGACGCTCGAGGCATTTTCGAGGCGATTATGGAAGGCTGGTGTAGATAAAAATCCTATAAGTTTTGGGGAGGATTGTTCGTGGAGGAGGCATTGACAGAAATTTTATATTAGTGCTATGCGACCAAATCGCTTATATACTATAAAAAGAAATAGCATAATGCGAAACAGCATAAAACTCTCAATCAGACACAGCTTGTTTTATGTAAATAAGTTCAATTTTGGCCAAGCATCGTACAAGTGAAATTGAGCATTTTGTATGGGGAAACTTTTTTTTCGCTTATCGGTAGAGGGGTCTTATCGGTGGAGGGGTATCGCATGGTAAGCATTAGCGACTAGTGCCCTTTCGGTCAGAACAGGCCGCCGGGCGTAATAAATTGTATTGTATTGTATTGTAAAATTTAACAGTCTCAATTTAACAGACCGTGGTTTAGCTCTTAGAATAAGTTAAGATCGTTAGCTCATATCCTCTTCTGACGATCTGGTGTTATCTACATCTATAGACAGCTCGTCATATTCGCCAGACGTGGAATTATCAACGCTAAACGGCGGAAAGAACATAGCAGGTGCTGGCAGTGGGACTGGCGTTAATCTCTTGATACGCCCCGACAGATACTCAATCTCGATAGACGGTGATTGCTCGGTTACTTTTATTTCTGAACCGCCAGGGATAGGACATGAGGTTAACGTCGCCGCCCTTTGATCAATGGTCCCTTCTATGCTTTCGTTGGATCTCCTAGTCTGAGGCTTGGAAGCCTGTGGGAGGATATCTTGTTTGGGCCGCTTTGTATCGACAACTACGATAAAGTGATTATCGGGGAGAACGCCGCCAAGTCCGCAGGGTTCTAAAGGCTGCTGTTGCGACACGTACTGCTGCTGATCGTCGTTCCAAATCAAATCCAGCTCGATGTCGCTGGCTTGTTCACAGTCATTGTTTATCAGACCCGGGTCTCTATGATCACCCTCATGCGTGGAAGAAGTCAGCTGACGTAGACCCTGGCCTCGATCTGTCAATGGCCTATAGCTGATGGAGGACCCAGATGTTGTTCGTCGATGAGAATGAACCAAGTCTAATGACTGCTGAGAATCCTTCCGGTTTTGGCTACTCAAGGGCGTGCGAATGGTTGGTGATACATCAACTGGATCACCCGATAAATCGGTGCAGAAAGGTACGTCGCTGTAGTATGTGATAACACCTTCGCGGCGTTGCAATTTGCCAGCCGACCCTTCAGAATAATTCAAGCCTAAGTCCGACTCGCCAGGATTATCGTCGTCCACGGCTATAGGCGAGCAAACCGACGCATCCTGTGAAGTGTTCGCATCTGATGATCCCTCCCGAACAAACAGTGGCTTGTAACGGAAACTTTCAACTCGAGCATAAAACTGCGGATCAAATGCAGACACATTCTTATTTAAGCCTCCGGATTGGGATTCATTGCTAATGAACGGGCTCGTCTTCTGATGCTCACGTGTCTTTTCCGAACCATCGATATTATTGACAGGAGGACTTTCTTGCGAATCGTAGATAGAGATGTGGCTACTGAACTTGGTATCTTTAGATCCGCCTCGCCATCGGATTTTATGCCCGTCAGTAGATAGCTGAAACCTGGTGCTGATTTCTAATACGGCGGAGCGAACGAAGTCAGGAGTTACGTTGATCAAGTGGAGCTGGGCCAAATTGTATAGCAGGTTCAGAGACACCCAGCCTTCAGCGTCTAGGTGGATGTCCTGGATACTCTGCTGTCCAGGCAATATGTCGGGCGACAGTAGGTCCAAATGTCGGATATAGTTCATATTCTCAGACGGAATCTGAGCACGATCAGGGTCCAGATCACAAGGTCGCGTTGGTCGCTGTTTTGGAAGAAGCGGGAGTGGGGGAAACGGCTTGGTAGACGAGACCAAGCCTGTACCATTGCCTTCTGTCTCCATGTTGTCCTTTTCGGGATCAGAGGCCGACCCATGGGCACTTAAATGGCACTGATATTCCCAAGCGCGAGATTGTTGTTCGAGAGGGAGGAATCTGGCTTCCCGGATAGGCTCAGTTTCATGAGTGGGTGGTTGGTAGGCGGATGATGAGTCCGCCACCTGTTTATCCGCTACAACGCGCGCCATGATGAAGCTGCCACCCGGGCGCAGAGGCGACATTTTTGAGACATCGGCACTGTTACTTCTGCCTGTGAAGAATTGTTCAAGGCGACGAACAACAAGACTCTTCCGCTCCTTGTCTGTCATGATTACATGCTGCGGGTATAGCCCGTCAGGAACATCTCGTAGATAGTCCTCGACCTTGCCCTTTGATGATTTGGTTGAAGGCAAGATGGGGAGGTAAATCGGCGTTCTCGAAGACTCGACACCGGCCGACATGGAGGCGTAGGCGGAGTCAGCTGGCCGGAGGCTGGAACCTGGAGAGGAAGGAGCATGGCTGCGCTGAACTCCAGATTTGGAATATATGTGATCGCGATTGTGGGGGGATATCCTTTTCCTTTTTTGCGATGATGACGCCTCTGGAGACCCATCGTGATCCGCGGTAAGGTCTCTCAGTATGGTTTCGAGCTCTCTCTTTTTCTTTTGGGGCAGCCCATAAACCTTGATCTCAAACAGCTTGTCTTTATGGAGCAAGGCCGGACCTGGTTGCTTATAGCGCTTGAGCTCCTTCTTTAGTTGTTGAATCTCGAGCGTTAGGTCGTCGATGACACTGCGGTAGTCATCAGAGCTACTGTTGTGCGCTGTGATAGGTCCAGGAGGGTCGACCTGATGCCGAGTGTGCAAGTGTAGCTTCTCTGTATCCAATAAATCAGATTCTTCCCGGGAGGAGAGATTAACTACAGGTTTGCATTAGCCTCTTCTAAATTACTACAAGTTCGCTATAGGTAGTGCATACCATCTGCGGGATTGTTGTTGGCGGTCGCGTTGAGGCTTGAGTCGTTATGCCATTCTGGTGGATCGCTTAGCACCGTCTCACGACTGCCGCTGAAGGAATCGAGATGGAGAAAACAATCGGTTGGTGGTGGCGGGGTTTTCTCTGGATTGCTTTGATTTAAGGGCATCTTGGCCCCCGTAAGCAATGAAACGCGGAGCAAGACCCTAATAGGACTGCTTAATTGTCGATATCACAAGAATTGCGAGTATAGGCTACATGATAGTAAGACTTTCACGATTCGACGACCGTGTAATACGGTCGGGAGACGTCTAGCAACGGTCGAGTATCCTGTAGAGCAACAAGGTGGGTTAGCAACATCGAAAAAAAACCACTTATAAATGAAACCAGATGAGGACAGGAATCGAGCTGTCGCAAAAGCATCGCAAATAGGATCGTGGGATATGCAGTGGCGAGGCGAATGTGCTATGCTAGCTTTGGGGGAAAGCCCCGAAAGTCATTGATATGCTTACCAAAACGAAACAAAGCTATAACCGGCGACAGCGAGTTGCAGACAATTTCCAGATTATAAAAATTGGCTTCATGTAGGGGTTGTTATAGTTGAGTCTTGTGCGGTTCGTTGGGCTGACGAAATGTCTGGAACTATCCGGCCAGGAGATTGCAAGATGAATCTGCTCTTCTGCGTGAAGGCTTGGATGCTGAAAAGTGAGGCACTTTTGGTGTAGTCGCCGGGAGGTGATCCAGCAAGAGACGTGTTGGCTGCGATACGTTCTCAAGAACTTGGCTTATTTTGTAGCCGATGAAGTCAAATAGAGATGGGAAAATAGTGTCGTGCTGAATGCTTCCCTGCAACTTGCCAAGTCAATAGTCTGACCCAGAGGTCGCTGAAGCTGCTGCGGTAGACAGTAAAAAGGTCGATATACCTGGGGTTGAATACTGGTAGACGTATGGCGGCAAATAATCATAAAAATGGTCGTGACGATGAGTCGGTGTATCGTGACGGGTGCCCTGAGGAACGTACGAGAACGGAAAGGATGTGAGATTGAGGGGACAGCAGGCCGAACGTCGCCAGCAGAGACGGGCTAACGGGGTAGGTCACTTGTCACTTGTCCGTATAGGCGTACTAGTGGAGGAAAAGTGGATGACCCTGGTGACCCAAGAGCCCGGGTCCCCGATATGCCGCGGACCTATCGTAGCGTTGAAGATACGTTCTGTACCTATCAAGTGCGCCGGAGCCCGACTCCGTCATCTTGAAGACTCCTCGCGTAAAAGAGTGGGGTAGCTCATCTGACAAGTCGGAATATACGACACACCCCTATTGATGAGTTCAATCGCTCCCATGCCCTACTCTCCTTGGCGTTTCCCTGCCTCTTTCCTGACGGAAGAGCCGACTTTATTAAGCCTCGATTGCGCTCCATTGATTACCAGGATTACGTCGAGCACGCGATGCGCTGGCATGACGGGCGTTTTGCACGCCACCCAACCTTCCGCTTCGTCGCATTCAATACTCTAATGCGGTCACAAGCACGTACACGGTCCAAATTCTTCGTGAAGCAACATGATGGGATGCATCAGCCGCTCACGCGAGAGCAACTCATTCAGGCGCTCGAACACAGTGAGGAACCCAAGGCACAGGCGCTGATCAACTCGATCACGAGATATGCAGTCTCCATTCGCGGTACGCGTCCCTTCTGGAACAAAAAGAGGCAGGACCTCGAAGCTTATGCCTATAACCTTGGGTGTCTTGGCGCATTCATCACGTTTAGCCCAGCAGATTTACACTGGCGGAGTCTCTACCAGCACATGCCCCGGTATGAAGACTGGCTAGCCGCCTCCGAGCCGGAGAGGATGGCTCTATCGCGCCGACTATTGCGGCAGAACCCTCACATTGCTGCCTTCCACTTCTACCGCCGATACTGCCTCTTTCGGGATATCGTGCTAAGCAAGAAGTTCAACATTACGGATTACTGGGATCGGTACGAATGGCAAGGCCGTGGTAGTTCACACAACCACGGCCTGTACTGGATGGATAATTGTCCCGGAACCGACATGGACGACGAAGCCGCTCGTGATGTATTTGCACGAACGTGGGGGTTCCACGTCACGGCGATTAACCCCGAGCCGAGTATGGCAATGCCGCAGGGCGAAGGTAATCCCCTGAGCGTGGATCCCCTGAGCATAGAGATGACATTCTTGCGGCTCTCACAAATCGCGAACCGTTGCCAGTGCCACAAGTGCAATACCACGTACTGCTTGCGGGTGAGGAAGAGAACCGGTGCTAGCGAGGGATATGGAAGGCGCTGCTGCAGATATCGAGGCGGCCAACGTTGCCAATCCAGAGAGGGAGTGTCGTTTTGACTTCCCTCGTGCCTTACGAGAGCTAGCCGCAGTCATCAGGAAGGAAGGAAGGTCGTACTACGTCTTCGAGGCGGCCCGGAACGACAGCCTCATGAACCACTTCAATCCGGCTATTCTCCTAGGGTGGCTAGCCAATATCGACATATCTCCTTGCACCAGCTTACAGGCGGTAATCACGTACGCTGCGAAGTACTGCAGCAAATCTGAGAAGAAGACGGAGCCTTACTGCAAGCTTGCAGATCAGGTTTTGCCGCATACGGCACATCTTCAGCCCCTATTGTCCTTCTCCTCTCGCCTCATGAAGTTTAACGACTTCTGCCGTGTTAAGTTGATGATGGTTCATCCACATCGCTCTCCACGAGAGTTGCTCGTAATGGACGGGCAGCGGTTCGACTCCTTCGCGGCTGCGTACAAGTTCTGCAGGCAGCTCCACCATACCCATGCGGACGATCATTATGGGGATCCAGATGCAAAAGGATTGAGGGCAGAGGACGATGAATTTGAGCCTGAGGCCCATGAGGAGCCCGTCACAGAGGAGGACTGGCATGAACTCGCCCGCATGCTGCCTGACCGGCCGCTGGAGAAAGAAGATATCGATATCCTCGGCCGCCGAGATATCGACATCAATTATGATTGGACGCCTCACGTTGGACGGTATACCGACGATGGCATTCTCAACGGTGACTACTGGAAACAACGCAAAGCTGAAAACCTCCTGGACCTTGATGTCGATGATCAACCCTTGGAAGCTCGCGATTCCCTAAATCCAGAGCAGCGCCTGGTGTACGACACGGTGATGGTCCACTTCTTGACGCAGAATCCTTCCCAGTTGTTACTCCATGTGGATGGTGGAGGCGGCACTGGCAAGTCATACCTCATCAACCTACTCTCTGCACACCTCCAAGCCGCGACGGGCGGGAGGGGGACACCTGTTTGGCGTGCCGTGCCCACGGGCGTCGCGGGAAACCAGATATCGGGCACTACCTTGCACTCCCTGTTGCACCTCCCAATCAATAAGGACTTCCGGCCCCTGTCGCCGATTGATAAGGCCCAGCTCCAGAAGAAGCTGGAGGATATCAAGTACCTCATCATCGATGAGAAGGGCATGCTAGGACTGCGTCAGCTATCGTGGATCGATGACCGTCTCCGCGAGGCGTTCCGGAGTAGGAATGAAAAGTTCTTTGGCCGCTTGAACATCCTGCTGGTCGGCGATTTCTTTCAACTACCCCCTGCGCTACAGAAGCCACTTTACTATGATAAAGAGGTGCAGGGGGTAGAGATCAAGGGCAGGAACGCGTATAGGCGCTTCGATAAAACAGTATTCTTGAAGGTTGCTCAGCGACAGCGCGGCGACGATCAGGAGGCCTTTCGCACAGCTCTTGGGGAATTGCGGCTGCTCCAACTATCTAAGGAGTCCTGGAAGCTCCTTTCCAGCCGCGTACAGGCAAAGTTAGGCGATCGGGAGGTCGCGAGATTCGTCAACGCTTTGCGAGTATACGCCACCAAAGATAGGGTGAACGAATATAACCACTATCACCTAGACCGCCTCAGCCGGCCGGTCATCCAGGTTACGGCTAAGGACGTCGGCTCTGGCGCGGCTGCTGCCCCCGACGACAAGGCGGGCAACCTTGCGAAGCAGATCCCTATATGCATTGGCGCCCGTCTGATGCTGACGTCTAACCTTTGGCAACCCGTTGACCTCTGCAATGGCGCTCGTGGTACAGTTTATGACATCGGCTGGGCACCCGGGGCTGAGCCCATCCAAGACTCTCCCTGTGATATCATGATGGAGTTTGACAAGTACAACGGACCGGTGTTCCTGACCACCCCTGATGGCAAGAAGATTGTCCCGATTCTCCCCGTAGAGAGGGACTTCCTCATCGGAGCCACTCTCTGCACTCGCACCCAGTCCCCCCTGATCGTATGCTACGCTATTACCGTTCACAAGTCACAAAGCATCACAGAAGATATGATCGTTACCGATCTCTCCTGCCGGGATTTCCAGACTGGGTTAAGCTACGTGGCTGTCTCTCGTGTGAACACGCTCGAGGGCTTGATGTTGGATGCCCCATTTGACCGCAATCACCTGATTTACGCGTCTCCCCCAGGTGGCATGAACATGAAGATGAGGGATCAGCAGCTTCGGAGACGACAGGTTCTTACGCGGAATCCCTACAAGACAGACCACGGTTCTGCATAATTCTAAGTGATTCTGCTCGCGACAAGAAGAAATGTTACAAAATTGCTCCAGTGCGTAAATAATGTGATGGTTGTAGATACTTGCTTGGCCCGCGGACTCTCAGCCTTCGGCTGATTGTACCACTTGCACCACCGCTCTAAAGTGCAAGGGGTGACGTAGTATTTTACAACAAGGGATCCATGCACAAGCAAGCAGTTTCTCTCCTCAATTTTTTCTGGGCCCAAGTCACATTCTATTCAGCTTAACGTGTTTCAACCTATCTAGCGCCTCCTTCTAGCCTACAATTCTTTGTTGACCCTTTCCCATCATCCCGGTACATTCTGGTATCTCCATCCCTCGGTCTATATCGGGGACTTCATCCATCGGTTTTCTACCCTCTCCTCTCAGCATCAAGATACTTTCTCTACCTAAGCTGTTTCACCGTGGGGTTCCGTCTTGCAGACTCTCCTCCAGTTCCGCAGCCACGGGAAAAGCACCTTTGTCAGAGACTTTTTCTTTTCCCAGGCCACTTCCTCAAGAGGCTCCCTTTTCCTGGCCGACCTCCTCGTCCTGGCTGCCGCTGGACATTTCGTAGTAATGTCCAAAGACGCGTGTCTCAAGGTCGACCACGCCACCACTCGCCTTGCGAGCCTGGCGACGGAAGTAGAAGCGCTTCATCCACTTCCAGGTCTCGATGCCCAGGAAGAATATGAAAGCCTCAACAAAGACAATACCCCACTCCCAAGAGATGGGAGCGTGCTTGAAGACGACAGTGTTCAGGGTAGGGATGTAGATCAAAGGGAACATAGTGATGAAGCCAGCCACGATGGCCCAGAAGAGGAACTGGTTGCCCCAGACGTCGTGCATCCACTGAGTGAAGTACTTATTGCTCTTGGGCTGCATTCGGAATAGGGAGCGACGCGTATTGACCATTTCCCAAGCCAGGAAGAGCGCAAACCAGGTCAGGCAAGCAAACGTCGTCGCGCGAGCACGGAAGATGACCTTGCAATCCTCGCTGTACTCGTTGTTGCAGTTCTCACCAATATCGGCTTTACCGTTGCCAAATCCGTAAAGAACAAGGACGAACGAAGCCAGACAAAGAGCAGACATCCAGAGGCCATAAACAACCATATCGATAAGCAGCTCAGGAGTGAGGACACCTTGTTTCAACTATAGATCGGTTATGTCAAGGATTCAGCAGCATGAGAAAGGGTAACCTTACGTTTTGGGGAGGTCGCTGCATAATATCGGGTGCGGCAATCTCAAAGCCCAGTCCCATGTCAGGCATGCCCGAGGTGATCATGATTATCCAGAGAATCTCGACGGGAGCAAGAGGGAATATTGATAATCCATTCTTATCCTTAAAGGCAAGACCAATGAGCAAGGTGCAAGCCTGAGCAATGTTCTCGGCCAAGACGTGGAGGATGAACTTCTGGATGTTGTCAAACATACGTCGGCCCTCCTCAACGGCGTTGAGGATAGATGCAAAGTTATCATCCGTCAAGACAATGTCAGAAGCCTCCTTAGCGACATCGGAACCGGCGAGACCCATGGCAATACCAACATCAGACTGCTTCAAGCTTGGGGAGTCGTTGACGCCGTCACCAGTCATGGCAACGAAGCACCTGCGGCGATGGAGGGCGTTGATCATGCGAACCTTGGTCTGGGGAGCACATCGGGCCACGACGAGGGGTAGCAGAGGGAGTTGATCGATTTCATCATCTGAGAGCTTGTCAAAGTCCGAGGCAGCCATTACAATCGTCTTGGCAATATCGGCAGGGATCTGGGACATCTTGGTAGGCAGGATGCCCACCTCAAGAGCGATAGCACGGGCAGTCTCAGGGTGGTCACCAGTGAGCATGTGAACGCTGACGCCGGCTTCATGGCACTGGCGGACAGAAGGCGCAGACTCGGGGCGAGGGGGATCGTACAGACCGATAAGACCACGGAAGACAAGGTCAGTCTCGAAAAGGCCTCGGTCCAGTTCAGCTTCGTTATCAACAACGTGGCGAATATCAGTTCGGCTGGCGAGGGCGAGAACTCGGAGTCCAAGTCGGGCAAGAGCCTCCATGTTTCTGAGGATATCTTGCTCAACATCCGGAGTGAGGTGCTTGATCTCATCACCGACAGCATAGCGGGGGCAAGAGGAAATGATTCGCTCAACAGCGCCCTTGGTGAAGACCCATTGCTTCTGCGACTGGTCATGTTCGAAAATGACAGACATCTTCTTCACGTCAGAGTCGAACGGGAACTCGGCAACCTCGTGCCATTGAGGCTTCTCTCCGGTAGTGAGGCGGAGACGGTTCCAGTTAAATCGCGAGGCAAAGACCTGGATGGCAATCTCAGTGGGGTCACCACGGCCATGCCATTCGGCCTCAACCTGATGGACAGTGGCGAGGTTAGCCAGAGAAGCAACGTTCAAGTATTCCTGGAGTGTGGGATCCCTGGCGACGACCTCCTCGGGGTTGATGGAGGTGCCTTCGGCGTCACTAAGCTGGAAGTTGATGTCCTTGGGCTGAGCATCCTGGAGGCCGAGTTGTCCCTGGGTCGGATTGAAGGGCTCGCTAGTAGCGCTGACTGAATAGGTGCCACGGCCAGGAATCCATGCCTTCTTGACGACCATGGTGCCCTGGGTAAGGGTACCGGTCTTGTCAGAGCAGATGTCTAACACGGGTGTTAGTAACAGGTTCGACTCGGGATGGAGGACCTCGACGGGACATACTAGTGACTCCACCAAGGGCCTCGAGACTCTTAAGGTTGCGGACAATGACGTTCCTCTGGACCATGCGTTTCGTGCCAGCGGCCATGGTAATAGTAAGAACGACAATCAGAGAAGCCGGGATCATGGACAAGCCAGTGGCTACAGCGTAGATGATGACCTCCCGCTTAGTGTTGAACTCGTTGGAACCGAGGACAATAATGGCACAGGCAATAGCAGTTCCCAAAAGAAGAAGGGCCAGCTTGGACAGTTTGCGCTGGAGGGGGGTTCCAACGTTGACGCCGAGGAAACGGCCAACAGCATCAGAAAAGGACAAGGTCCAAGCCTGCATCCAGCGACCAGTCGAGGCAGTTCCATCTTCGCGGCGCTTGGGCTCACGACGACGAGAGGTTTTGCCACGGAGAGCAACAGCGATCTGGCCGATTTCGGTGTAGATACCAGTAGCGAAGACGATACCACGAGCACGACCCTTGGTGACAGTCGACGAGCTATAGGCGACATTGAGGCGGTCACCAGGGCCGGTATCATGAGGGAAGGTGGACGCCGTCTCCTTTCGGACAGGGAGAGACTCTCCAGTGAGGAGAGCTTCGTTGGTCTCGAAGTTGACAGCTTCAATAAGGCGGATATCGGCAGGGATGGTATCGCCCGTCTTGAGCTCGACCAAGTCACCAGGGACAATCTCAGCAGTCACGATAACCTGATTATTCCCGTCGCGCACGGCATGAGCTGTGGGGGAGCTTAGCGAGCGGAGGGAGTCCATGGTCTTGGCAGCTTGGAACTCCTGGAAGAAGCCCACGACAATGTTGAGCATGATGACTGCAGCAACGACGCCGCCTTCAATCCAAGACTGGATTCCAAAGGAAGCCGCCATGGCGAGGATAAGCACCTACAAATCAGCGAATCAGTAAATCTCCCTCCGAGGATCACAACCAAGGACAACATCGGCAAAGTCGCTGTGAGATTCCTTGGAAGGGCCATGGAATGGTGGACATCTCACTAGAGTCAAGGCGTTGGCAATCTGGCCGATGAGGATCTTGATGGGCTGGACACCCTGCTGCTCGCCGAACTCGTTGCGGCCGCACTCCTTAAGGCGCCTCTCGGCTTCGGCCGTCCTCAAGCCGTCGACGGTATGACACTGAAGCTGCTCGGCGACTTGTTTGAAGGTGAGGGCGTGGGCGGGCGCCGTCATGGGCGTGTTAGATTGCCCGGAGACATGAGGCGTCTCCTCGATCAACTGCTGGCTCATGGCGATTGGGAGTATTTCATCCGGCGCGGTAGGAGGACGATTAGGTGGGACAAGAGGTTGTCTTTTGAGGGCTCTAGTTCTGTGCTGTTCTTGCTTGGGCGGGTGGCAAGATAGCCGAGAGGAAATACGTGGACAGAAGGAGTAGGCTAGAAAGTCACTGCGCCGCGGGTTTTTGACTGGTGGAGGAATTTGAAGAGTAAGAGAAGAGAGAAACAAAAGCCGGAAGGACGACAGAAGATCATATCCCTTTTATCATGGACCCAGTACAAGGACACACAGCGGAGTTAGCCCGGTACCCGTAACTCTCCCTTTCAACCTATCCTAAAGTGCGTGCCCTTTGCCTCCCGATCCAACCCCACTCGCCCCACTCCGCCAAGAGGGAGAGCACATGAAAAAGTAGCGTCCAGGGAATCAGGATGGAGAATTGGCTGGACATAAGATGCTCGCGTGTCGACTAGCTGTCCCGCACCGTGGCCTTGGGCCTGGTAGGCCCTGGCGAGGACTTTGATTACCGTTATAGCAGGTGTCCTAGGAAAGAGAAGAGAGGAGGAAAGAAACCAGTCCGGTATGTGCGGAGGCTGGCGTGGCGTTTACTGAGAGTTCCGATATGCTCCCAAGTTTTCATATTCTATTTCCGTAAAAGCACACCTGATAGGTCACTTTATGGAACATTATCTTGAGAAACCTTCATGGCATTGCCCGAGAAACGGTCATGGAACATTACCTGATAAGGCGTCCCCCGCACATTGACACAGCTGGTGTTTGCAAGTCCATCTCGTCGACGCCCTCGACCTCGGGTCAATACTGATGGGCTTGATCTGTAGCGAGCGGAAGAGTCCCAACCCGGAGGGACACGCTGTTTGAAGGCGAGATGAAGCAATGAAACGAAAGAACCTCCCCGCCTTGCCCCCGGATCGAGGAACGCCTTTTACTCACATCTATATTTAGGATTTTTTGGGGTTCCTTGTGCGGTGCCCCATCGATGGAAGAACAAGTGCAGATCTCTCGGGGTCTATCGCTTTCACGCAACTACTGTTTGACATGAGTTGCAGCCCCGACGTCAGAGCGCCGTGATATTCTGCTGACGTATTATGTTTCATATCTGGGCGGGCCCGGGGATATTCCCTCTCCAGGGAAGTAGCGCGGAGACAGTAAAAACAATGGCTGCCGGAGAAGTCAAGGTTTTTTTTAATCTTGTGGTAATTTTTATGCTTAAAAATATTATAGATTCCGGATCTGAGACTTGGAGTGATCCGGTTGGTCCTCAAAGTCCCGGCCTCCACACAACCTGACCCTGGACAAGCAGACAAAGATCTGCGTTTCTCTGTCCATTCAAGCTTCTGAATGCAGCCTCGACCCTCTAACTCGAGACACGGACGGAATCTGTCTCGGGGTATGCGTAGCCGCGGCAACACGCGCTAAAACAGACGGCCCAAGATTGGCAATGTGTGTCTCAGCGGGCCAGACTCGTAGCCGCTTTATTGTTCGTAGGGGCCAATAGATAACCTTTGATCTAGTCGCGCGTCTTGGGGCGGATCGGCGGCTCCTTAACGCCCATCCCGTCCATGGTTCATTACGCCGTTCTTTCTGATACCCATGGCTAGTAAGCGATATGGTTGCGAGATTGAGAGACTGTGAAAGCACCATGCCCGGCACGCCTTTTTATGCTTATTTTAAACTCCCGAAAGCGGCCAATTGTGTACTCTAGACGAGGCTCCCGCCGGATAGTCACGCGACCGATTTCCATTTCCATAGCCCTCCAGCAGAATTCCAAATAGCGTCTCCCTGACTCGAGAGTCTCCACCTCCAATTGTGATCGCCAAGATAACTCCTTGTCAACCCCCGACGCCAAGACAACCGCCACCAGTGATGGCGCCCTTGCCAAGAGTTTCACCCACCTCGCCCAGCCACCGACTCTGCTCTGCATCCCCCTTATCGAGGACCGAGAGACTCAAGAGGAGTGCTGACGAGACGTGTTGTCATCGCCTGAATCGCCAGCGGAATCACCGAGCGTGTCATGGACGTGAATCTTTTTCTAGCCTCTCTCTTTTTGTACTGTTTCCTTTTTTAGGCCCTACCTACGAAGACTGTAGTTCCTTGCCCGTTTCAGAGCCATTAGCTCTCCCCTAATTCGTCTGGCGCTGAATAAAATATTCCTCATCTCGGTTGATGTAGATGTCTTGAAAGATGAACGGATAGCCCCCCCGGAGAGTGACTTGGCTTGATTAGAAATTTCCTTTCCATTCCTTTTTGTAAAGATCCGAAGACTAGTTCGATTATCTTTCTCTGCAACGTAGTCCTTGGCCGTATTTGCCATGTATGCATAGTTTTCACCAGAGACTACACCATATCCGATGGTATAAAAGTCGTCCTTCGAGGTTGTGTATTCAAATGCACCCTTGATATATGTTCCGGGCTCAAAATAGACGTAATTAGTATCGGGATCTAACATGATATGGCTTCTGCCGAAGTGGCCATCTTTTTCCATTCAATAGATACCAGCTTCGAAGTACAAGGTAGGCTTGGATCCAATTGTCGATTCGGTTACCTTCCCGGGCTTCAGGACTTGAGTGTCCGAAGAAGTCTTTGATGGAACCAGTCCTTCAGGAATGAAAGGGCTAGCGAAGATGAGGAGAGCGTTTCGCGTCTCTTCGCTAACGACAAGTCCTCCCGAGTTTACGTACGATTGCCCATTTGTACGATAGATGTAAAGGTCGTTCTGAAATTCAACTGAAAATCTTCGGCCGCTGGCCTCATACGGGACGCGTATGGCAACTGTGTTTGCATCCGGGGGGTTAATGGTGTACTTGATTTGGGAAGGGCGGATCACAACGTTTGATGCCGGACCAAGCTTCGAATTATCGGTCGACTTGACCCGGACTTCGACGTCCTGGGAGTATTCGAACTGGGTCCACGCCATGTTGATTTTGGCGTCTGGCCCAACGGTGATACCGTCACCGTCTTGAAGGGCGTACTCCCGGCTAGGGTTTGCCGGGTCATACATCTTTCCATTTCCATTCCGCGGAATAGATTCGTAGACAAATGAATCCTGGAACTGTCCCTTGCCGGCAAGACGGACGGACACTGAGTACTTGCGCGACTGGCGGACTTCATTAGCCGGGACGGGGCCATAATCATTCACCTAGTGGTTATCGTGCCACCAAGTATGCAGGCCGCTTTTATTCGACGCCCGAGGACTGATGCTCGTAGCTATCGAGCCCGTCACATATAGGGAATTGATAAACGTAGCGAGAAGACACGCAACGCTCATGATGATGGATTAAAACGAATCGTGATCTAGGAAAATTGTCTTAAGAGAGAATGTCGTGGAAAGGGAAGGATGTTAGATTCTGTTGCTTGCCGAGGCGTCTAATATATGGCACAGGAGCCAGAGTTCTAAGGTACACTCAAATATCGAATTCCTTTCACGCTAACTATTATAAGGAAGAGCTATGAAAAGATGATCCGAAAATCGGGGCAAATTAGAGCTCATTATAAGGATGCCGGTGCAACTCAATCTGTTTTGCGAATATGTTTCAATTGGCTTACCACTAAGTTGAAGGATGGAACTATTGGTGAGGATATCATCAAGCAGGAATTGTCCAGTGAGAATTTTGAGAACCTTGCCAAGCGCCTTAGCGAACAGCATGATCATAGCTTGCGGATTTTCCCATGTGATCTTCTCAGCCCATGTGATTTATCTACAGGATTGGTATGGACTTTAGCTTGGCAGCCAGACAGAAGACCACGGTCTTGTGCGCAACGGTCGCCACGACGTAGGATAAATGACGTACAAACAAAGACCAGTAATAATATGCCAAGAACGCTGTTGGCTAATGTGTGGCCATGTAATTTTGCCCTGAGGCCAAGATAGTTCCGGGGGCTCCTGTACCTTCGGGACGAAAGTCAAGCCTTCAGGGCCGTCACGATGAAAGGTTAAGCCGTGGTACTTCCCTTTTATGCCTTCATACAACGCTGTATTCCAGACGTAAGCGCCTCCATTACCAACATCATCACCGGAATAATATGCTATAAGGAGCGGTCGAAGGAAAACGACGATAAGATCTCTCCATATGCTTCCTGCTGAGACATAAGACGTTCTCAATTCATGATATGCCCGGAGGATGTCTCGAAGATGGACCTCAATGGATATTTCCTGCTTATGGCACGAGATTGTTGGAGGACTGGCGTTTAGTGTTGCCCCAAATGGCCTATCAGAGCGCCTGTGTACAGCAGGATGGATTGAATCAATGATGACTGACATGACGATCATGGGTAGCTAGCATCATTATTAGGGATTTGAGAGCAGTGAAGTAAATAGTGCAAAATACCGTAACGTACATGATAAGCTTGTGTCCCATATAAGTATGTGTCCCACATATACTGTACACCTAAAAAGCCAAACCTTAAATTTTCTAAAATGGGCTATTTAAGTCATAGAAATATAAAGAAAATATTTATAAATAGATAATCAAAAACGTTATAAATTAGGATGTTTCTAGAATTTATATAAAAATTACCTTACTTAAAAAGTTAGAAAAACCCCTTAAAAAACAGTATGAATAAGTGGTTTATTAACTACTTACTAACGTGGTTGATAAGTGAGTGGGTCAGACAAGTGAGCGAGTCAAAAATCTCAACCTTTATACTTTCAATCCATTTAAAAACAACATAAACTATCTGATCAATTAAAATCACTGACTATACTCTTCCCCAGGGGTCTCAATAACTACCTGACAGGTCCTTGCATTATGGCCGGCTTTGCCGCATACCCCACAACGCCGAATACCCGGTCGCATCGACCTTGCTTGATTACCACTTCTCGATGATTCCCTCACTAGCTGTGTATCAACATCCATCTGATCAATTACTTGCGATGCTTCCTGTACAGTCATCGCCCCTCCTTGCTGTAATCTAGTCCTTTTTGTCGTTCGGCGCCGGCTTAGTATCTCATTTGCATCTCGAAGATTTCGGAGCTCACTCCTCAATAAGACAACCTCATGCATAACTGCCTTTGTTGCTTTAGTATTTGACTTTAAAGCTTCAATTATTGACTCTGGGGAGCTGCTCTTATGCCTTCTGATTCGCCTTTCAAGGTATTCAGACTGAGATTGGGCCTCAATTGCCGTCTTTGGGGTCTTTGAAGTCCAAGAGGTCGATGGTTCAGCAGCCTCCTCGGGAGGCGTTGGAGTCCGTAGCTGTACATCAAGTTTTGAGATTACATTTTCTGGGTCAAAAGGAGCAAGTCCAGCTCCTCTAAAACCTCCCCGGATGTTGCTTTTAGTGAAAGTGGCTTTAAATGCGGCATAAAAGGCGGAAAAGAACTCGGTCTTAGAAATATGGGTTATAGAGCATCTGATCAGATGCTCTATTTCTCGACCATATGCCTTTTTCAGCGGCCCAAAGCACCCAATATCAAGAGGCTGGAGTAGGTGAGATGCATGAGCAGGCATGCAGAGCGTGATAATCTTGTTCTCCTTGCAATATCTCTCGAAATCGGCGGAGTGGTGGCTTTCGTGGCCATCAAGGATCAGAAGACGATAGGAACCAACCGATCGCTTAGTTGTAGACCGATCAAAGTGCTTTAGCCACTCAAGGCCTAGCTGGTTATTTGTCCATCCATTTTGGCTCGTTGCGATAACCCAATCGCCCGGGAGGTCGCATTCTCGGTACCAATTCGCAAGGTGATATTGGCCTGCACCAATGATAAACGGCGCGATCGATTGACCTTCTGCATTAATCGCCTGGATTACAGTAATCCATTCCCGGTTTCCAGGCTGCACTGATTTTGGTCTTCCTTGCCTTTCTGAACCGGTGACGACCATTCCGGCCATAATGATGCCCATCATAAAGCCAGTCTCATCAAAGTTCCAGATATCATCTGATCGGATACCATACTTTGCGATTGTGTTCTGTACGAGCCTAAACCAGCCACGAATAATCGATGGATCTTCGCATTTAGCTCTCTGGTAGTCATATTTCCGAAATAACCGCGTCTTTAGCTCTGGTTGTCGCTTGACGAAGTTATGAGCCCAGCGCTTGCCGACAGGTGACGCATCGCGGTCAGCAAGCAGAGAATTAGCCATTTCTTCTACAAAACGAAATCGCGAGGGAAATCCTCGCGAATCTAGGTCAAGAATGAATTGGACTATTATCTGTTCCTCTAGATCAGATAGTTTCCGTGACTTTGGGATACAATCGCGTCGTGATTGAATGCCATTATGGCGGCGGCGTAAGGTCTCAAAAGAAACCTGATATATAGTTGAGGCACGTCGGAGACTTAGTTTTGGGTTATTTTGAAGGGCTTGAAGTGCAAGAAGGATTCTAGCTTCATTTGATGATTGAGGCATGCTTGGTGGTTGAGAAGTATTTGATTAGATGGTAATGTTGTAGGATGAGGGATTTTTGACTCACTCACTTGTCTGACCCACTCACTTATCAACCACGTTAAAACTTTTTTTCTAAAATCTATAAAAATTATCTTATTTATAGGCACGATCGCACTCTTACCCACAGGGAAGAGCCGGCTCGACCCCAGGTTTGCCCAGATTGTGGCGCAACCAGCGCACTCGTTAGCTCTTTAGGAGTTTTAGCGCAAAGACATCAAACAACCAGCCGGCTCGTTACTGGCTGGAAATGGCAGCCTTTGAGAACTGGCTTATGTAGTGTACCAGACTTGATACATGAGAGAGACCAAGCTATACATATAAGTCTTTCAGTCCCTCTCAGTATCAAGCACTTGCTAAAAAAGAATGTCTATGTGATGAAAGCTGATTGAAACATGCACCACTTTTGTATCTTGGCCAGTTGAGGTTCAATGTGATTTGACGACATATGAAGGAGCAAATATCCATGAACTTCTGAGCTATGGTCACTAGGACGCATTGCAGAAAGCGAAGCAGAGTAAACGTTATTCGAAGTCGAGGCTTTAGTTTCGAGGCGTCTCATGTGCTTCGTTTAATGCGGCCTTGTCAAACTTTTAGACATAATTGCATACCAAGTTCCATCATTACAATTGTCTTAGAACTGAGGCATGTAAAGCAAGCTTCGGCATGCTTATCTACCTCGAGAAATATTAAGATTGCGCGTTACTCTGGTGTTCTCTACTGGTAGCTCGTGAGTCCCAAGAGGCTGTGATAGGACTCTCTTATCTCTATACGTAAATAAATATCGGGGAATACCTCTTTTGAAGTCAATCTTGTTCTTGAAGCTTGCTGTTATCGGTTTTCTTTTTTTCTTTTTTGAACTAGCAGTTTCCATCACGAGAAAGTCACAAAAGGGCAAGCTGTGTAAACGAGTGACATGATATATAACGCAACAGGCCATGTGTCCTTGTGGAACTAAAACGAGAGGACAGGTTAGGGCAAAGACCCATACTGACTAACCTACATACCAGTCCCCATTCTTAGACAAATGTCAAACCACCCTTCTTCGGAGATTGGCGCTCCTTGTCAAGATCCTCGTCATCAGAAAACTCATGATCCTCATTAGCAGACCTGCTAACCGGCAAGCCGACAGCATTGGCATCGACATGGCGACTAAAGCGATTGTACGCAATAAAAGTATCCTTATCGCCAGCCACCGCATTGGCAGGGGTGGCAACCTGCATGGAAATGCGCCTCAGCTCAACAGCATCCTCCTTGATAGGCGCCTTGCCGGTGTAGTGATAAAAGACGTTGAGCGCAGGGATCGATAGACCGTGGACAATGATAGAGAACAGCACGAGCCAGTAAACTGTTGGCCCCATAGCTCGCACGAGGTTGGTCTCCTCCTCATCACCCTCACCATCATGCGGAAACAAATGTCTGGCGTGCTCAACATAGAAAACGGCGCCAGCGCCGATGGGTCCGAAATAACCCATGAAGAGTGCCTCTTTCCAATTTATGCAAACACCAGGCATCAGCTTATAAAAGGCAAAAATGGCGGGTAATCGGCGGAAGATGAGAACGAGGAGTCCAAGACCTAGAAGACGACCCCATGTGATGCCAGTGCCAGTAGGGTCGTTGAAGTCTGACCAAGGCAGAATAGCACCGATGTACATGAATCCGCCGAAATTGAGAAGGACGTCAACACATGAATTAACTTCGTCGTGACGGAGTTCAGTCTCGCGGAGGTAGTGGCCGTCCCAGTTCAAGGCGCAGCCAGCGACGAAACAGGCCAAAAGGTCGTCAGTGCCGAGAGCTCCGCAGGTTCCGACGATGAACAGGCCCAGGGCTGTGGGAAAGAGGACGTAAGACTCGTTATCGATCCACTTCCTATATAAGATTGGATTAGATCAAGGTGAAAAATGGCAGACAATGAATACTGCAGGTGCTGATATGATGTTGCGGTGTTGTAGAGATCACTTACCATCTCAGAGCAAGGCGAACAGCCTTGCAAGATCCATACCCAACAACGGCACCATAGGCAATGGACAAGACAATGGTATACAGCCACGTCTCAACGAACCATTCTGTGAGAGCCACTCCAACTCCACCACCCAGACGTCCAACCTCACCAGCACGAGCCATCAAAGCATGAGCAATGGAATGACCGGCTTCACCTGCGGCTCCAGCCTTGGCAGCAGCACCAGGGATCTCCGCATGCTGAATCAAGTATGTAGCAAGCATCAAAAACGGGAATCCGAAACCGTCATTGGCACCCGCTTCGGCAGAGATGATCTCACGTAGTGGACGAGCGACATATTTATCGGCGAAAGGGCCTTTGGCGATGGCCTGTGATAGGATGGGATCGGTGCAGGTGACGCAGGAGCCGATGACGAGAGCGGCCAGGAGTGTTAATTTGGGAATCGTGAGCATGATACAGGCTGTTGTACAGAGCCACATGACGGTCATGATGGGGAGAAGGCAAAGTGCCATTTCTTTCCACCGTGTGAGACCATATTTGGCTGGGAGTTGGTAACCTGCGATGACGAGCTGAACGCCAATCATAACCCGAGCGACGCCCTGGTTCTTTGGCATCAGTATTTGCTCGTAGCTTCTTGTCAATAAGCAGCTTGGGATGGTTGGGGACAAACCAGAGTGATGGCGTTAGTCTGGCCTGGTTCGACAGAGCCCCATTTCTCGCTCTCGATAAATTTGGCTGCTAAAGGTCCGAGGATGACGCCAATGAAGACGGCGGGGACTAGGAGGTGTTAGATACTGTGGTGATGTGAAGGCAGAGGACAAAAGGATTGGAATGGGGATGTGGGGTACTGACGGGCTTCACCAAGATACCAAGCCTGCTTGATTTTGACAGAGATGATACCATACAGTATCGTGAAAGCGCCTGGTTAAAAACACGTCAGCTGAAGTCTTGGCGATAAAAATCGCATGATGAATGGGTGTCAAGATACACACCCAAGACGCTGAGCACAATATTGAGCTCGCTGAGATTTAGAACAGGCATCGTGGCAGTCCTCGATGTAACAAAGATTATGCCAGGGAAGGGTTCAAAAGAGAAAGAAAGGAAAGAAAGGGAAAAGGAAAACGACTAAGGAAAAAAAGGGACAATAAAGAAATACAACACAGGTCCAGCCTACGAAAGAAATGGAAATGAGATTTCTAATTCGCCAAGAGGGCTGATCGTATATTTTTAATAACACCGAAATCAGAGATCTTCTACCTAGCGCCCGATAACAAATGGAGGCAAGACTACCAGAAATAGCGTGAAACGGCATGAAACTGGAGTTCTCATATTTTGTATTCAAGCCGAAGAGAGATAAACCGGAATAAACAGAGAGCAGCTAAAAAAAGATTCACATCGCTGACACGCTCTGTGATTCTATTGTCGATTCAGACATAATAATTCGTTTCACTACCATTTCGGATTCTTGAATCTCTTGGCTATCAAGGAAGAAGGGAATGTGCGTGAAACTCTTGGCAGAGACGCCGTCTCCCATACTACATGTCTTGGCATCAGGGGCTGTCTTGACGCAGGGAGGGAGGTATGTATCTTGGCGATCACAATTAAAGATCAAAGCTTTCGAGTCATGAATGCGCTCGCGTCATATTAATTGTCTCCGGGGTATCTGAAATAACGAGGAGACCGTTTAGTGTAGGTTGTTTTTATATGGTTAAAATAAGCATAAAAACAAGTCCCGAATATGGTCCGTGAGTCTGGCGACCACGGCAACCTCTTAACTTATCACAATACAACCCCCTGTAGGATTGGGAGCCACAGAATTTCAATCTATTATAACTTTCCAAACAAAAAAAACTCAAAAGATACTCTAATAAAGAGAGAAAAACCTCTAGAAAATAATATCTACATTAATATAAGTATGATTTTATATATATAGCTCAGAAGTTGAAAGTTCTGGGTAGAAAATTGGCTTCCTTGCAGGTGAGTATAGAGTTCCCAAACACTCAGGGTACGTATTGTATGGGCCTAAGGAAAATAACGCAACTGTGGATTTAGCGCGACACGGCTTTCGTCCGTGTCTCGTCGCGACGACGCTACTGGTCTGAGTATGGCTGGACGAAGCCGGGTAGGTATTTTACGTGCTTGGTCTGGAATCTATATATAGTATTGTCTTTTAAGCATAAAATTGACTTCTCCGGCGGCCATTGTTTTGAGCTATGCGTACAGAGTGGACTGAAACATGAAATGGGCGTAACGGCATGACCTCATACCCCTGAAGTCGCGATGGTAGTTGTGGCTGGTGTGAGGGTCGCTCTCGGGCTTGCCCGACTGCTGGTGGCCGCGCAGCTGTTGATTTCACACCCGCAGTGAGCTCGGGCTCCTTTCCCTGGGTCGTATGTCTTTTTTCCATAGCTAGATGAGCTGTTTCATCTTCGTAAAGAACTTTCCAGGCTTCGAGATGTTCCAGAATATACTCCATCACGGTCGTGACTTCCCTGAGCCGGCCGTGACCCCCTCTTGTACCCCACCCCTGTATTCTAATTGTCATATTGTAAATCGGCTCCAATATCTGCCTAACTTCCCTAAGAACCTTCCAGTCATAGAGGTCAGGATGTCAGCCGCCGGGATCCTTCTTGAAACGTCCCCTTCTAACCCTAACTTTCGAATGAAGCGGTTGAGCTCTGATTGCTTGATCAAAGCGCCTCCGATCATTATGTAGGTCGAACTCCATCTCGTAACGCTGTTCTGTATAACTTCAAGCTCGGCTGTTGATTCTTCCGCAACCTTATAAATGTTCGCCTCCTCCTGCTCCCTGGCATGTGCTTTGAATGCTTCGGTGCGTTGCGGAGAGGCTCCGATGAATCTGACGATATTATGAAGCTTCCCAACTGGGCCCATGGCTTGCCAGCATTCGAGGTCTTCTTCAACCCTTTCCAGCATGCCATAAGCCTGAGATTGAAGTTCGAAAGAAGCTGCATCGTCGCCATAGAGGAAAGCTTGGGTAACAAGGTTTAAAATATGCCCGAAACATCGAATCCTTCGTGCCTCCGCATCCGCTCGAGCCATCGAGGCATCAAGAGTCGTGCAGAGGCTTTGCAAGCAAACATCGTTGCTGGCCGCATTGACACAGATCGAGACCCCAAGTTGCTCCAACCAATGAAGTGACTAAAGATCGAAATGAAAGCTAGTCTATTCGGAGAGGTCCAGAGATCGAAGCTGATATGTATTTGGGTAACAGCTTCGTCGACTTCCTGCCTGGCGGTCGCATTCTTCAAAGAGAGTATGTCTTCTAGATCTTTCTTAGCTGCAGTTCGACCCAGGGAACTTGAGCATAATATTCAGAGTCCGGTTGACGGAATAGCTACTGTAGGTAAGTGCTCTCGAAGGTAGCAAAGGGGAGATTGGAGACAACAATATAGCCAACTGAGAGCTCTCTGATCCTTCCATCTTCGCTCGGGGAGCTAAGGAAGAAGGAGCTGGCCTTTTTTTGGATGCACTTCTTTAAAGATCGGGAAAGATCGGGAACCGACGAATCACCGGATGAATCCGGTTCCAAGGTCTCAGTGATTTTGAGAGCCCTGAAAATGGGAAGAATCGCTAACTTGTAAAGATGAGCTTGTGCCGAAGATGTCGACTGAGCATTGAAGAGTCGCGGTATGCCCTTATCATCACAGGGCCGGCAACACCAGATATCCCCGCTAGATGTCTCTCGTCAATTCTGCCAGGAACCAACCATGGTTTCCAATCCAGCTTCGCCGGCCCCTACTCTTCCTCCTATTTAGGAGGCATGCAGCAACGTAACGTCGTTGGCCCCAGGTAATCTTATAAAGGTCGTTAATGGAGGGGTCGGCAGTCGATGCTAAAGCCAAATTTGCATCATACGCTTGGCGATGCTCTTGGGCCGGGTCCCGAGACGAGGAAACGTGGTCGGCGATGACAACGGGCTGCTAGCAAGGCTGCCTTTTAAAGCGGTCTGCAAGATGATAAGTTACAATTAGCCGAAGGAATGGATTGCTTCATCAACGGACGGAGTGGGGCGACGAGCGACCTCGAAGAAGCCATTAGCGTGACTTGACACACAGCTGTAGCGACGCCTGCCAACTATCCGAACCGCGTAAGTTGGCCTGAATACCGGTAATCTAGGAAGCAAGCTTTAAGCGGAGTGGGGCCACTGGTGTTGGAACAGCTGAAGACCCCAAGTTACTCAAGGAAGCAAAGTGTATTTTAACTGGCTAGATACCATGGTTTTCTTCCCTTATTGCCAATAGAATATTGCCATAACATAGAAGCAAATGGCCCATTAGTCTGAGACAATACCATACCAAATCAGACCCATGATGGCTCCCGTACCAATTGCAACGGGCGGGCTCACCCCAAACCAATAGCCGCCCACATAGCTTGTGGCCGTCACAACGACCCACCAAGGATCCACAGCCAGGCTGGTACCCTGCTGGAAACCTTCATCGATATGGCCGATCTGCCAAAGACGATATACGGCAGTGTAGATAAGGCCAACGGCAGCCGCATTGACTCCTCGGAGAGATGACTTGACCCATCTCCACCCTCGTATCGCACTCCAGACACCCATAGTCCCGTGCACCGTGAGCAGTCCGGGAATGAAGATACCTAGAAATCCGAGGATTGCACCGGCAGCGGAATTATATCCACCATTGATGGCAGTCAGGCTGCCAAGATAAACCGCGAAGTTAAAGTTGGGTCCTGGGAAGGCTTGGATGAGGGCGAGTCCAATAAGGAAATCGCGAGGGCTAACCCAGTTCTCGGCGACAACATATTCCCGCAGAAGCGGGATCACGACGGGCCCACCGCCAAAAATGATAGTACCAGCGAGGTACATATTGGCGAAGAGACTGTATAGACGTGATTTATGGGGCAGCGTACCGCGTAGAACCATGACGACGATAAAAGAGAGCAGGAAGAGGACTATAAGAAGTACCCCGAACTTCCAGCTGATGTTGAGGCGTCGCTCCTGAGGGACTATCCGAGACTGATCTTCGACCGCCGATGCTTCCCGTTCAGTAAGTGGGAGAGTGCCATTTTCATCGATCCGACCCGACCGATTGCCGTCTTTGCCCTGGCTGGACGGCCCAGCACCTGCGTTGAATTCCTTGTGGCCATTGCTTGCGGTGGCTTGCCGTTGGATTTGCATCTCGACACCTTCTTCTGATGTATTTTGAGAGTGCTTGGCCTTCTTCTGGAAGCTTGCAGTGATGACTTTGATAGGGCGGTGGAGCCAGCGAAAGTCATGAACAACCGTCGCGACGCCAGCCAGAAACATCAACAACGGGAAATACCAGAGCGCATTGTACATCATGCCGGCTGAGGCCCCGAGAAAAACTAGAATGCGGGTCATCTTGTCAGTGATGGCCTTCTCAGATAACTGGACGGCCGCGAGAACGATAATGCCGACGGTAGCAGCGTTGAGACCAGAAAGGAGAGCATAGACGGCTCGAGGAAGGGATTCTCTAATGTTAGAGACTCCAATGGAAAGTCCATACATCCCTAGAGCCCCGGGGAGACTAATTTCAACCAATTTGTTAGCTTTGGACTCCAGGATCGGGCGACTGAAACGTACCTCCAGAGGAGGAAACCGAAGAGAGCAGGAAGGAAGCCATCGTGGAGAAGGTTGATGCAGTAATGCATCTTAGTACTGCCAGGGCCTGAGAATGCTTGGCAGACACTGAACAGCTCTTGGTACTGGACAACGTCAGCAATAAAGCTTCTCAATCACCTGAAATAAGTTCCTACCATTTGCTCATCGATCCATGAAAGCTTAGCGACAAATTTGTCATGAAACTACCGTCGAATGTTATTAACCATCGGCTCTGTATTGCCCCCGATACATTCAGTTTAGTCGATCTAGCATGGGATCTGGCTCGTGAGTAGAGGAGAGGATGGTTCCGGGGAAATAGGTGTCACTCACGATCTTGAAGTGGACCGGCGGGCCTCCAAAAGAAGTGAAACCCAGATACCAATTCTCTCGAATGGTGTTCCAGAACCGTTCACCAAGGTTGGATATATTGAGTCTTGCTGATTGCTGGATCGCCATCTTTCTGTGGCCCATCACAGCTAGACGAATTGTAAGAGCTTATCTCCTTACTGGCTCGCTTCGTATGCGTAGGACACCTCCAGTGCTTCGCAGTAATAAAATAAAAATCGGTAGAAGAAAGCATATGAACCGATGGAGAGAACGTGTTTTTGGTCAAGTAGTAATGGATGGCCTTTTTTGTAAACGTACAGCTTACACACTAATGGACCATTTGAAGGAAACTCATTTTAGTGGTTCTTGGCGCTAGCCAATGGCGCATGGTTCTATGCAGCACGTGGGTGCTGGATGAGAATCTGAGAATCACATTTTCTTGGCGATTACCGTCTGATCACCGGCGCTACCAATCAGCATATTACTTAATTAAGAACAGAGGGGCGGCCAGGGGCTCTGAGGGCCGAAGGCAATGGATGCCCTCACTAAGACCTGGTCGGGACTATGTCATACCCAAACCATGATTGGCTACGGTCAAATTAGATGGCTGTCCTGGGGCCCTGTCATACCTGAGAGGTGATTGGTCAAACAGCTTTGCAGGGACAATGTCAGGCCGAGGCTGCGATTAGCTCGACGGGATCTTCCAGCAGTAGCTTGCCTGAAGCATCCATGATGTATTGTATCATACGCCGAGCAGGCCACCTAGTCAACCGAGTTAAAATAGCGGAGCGCTACGACATTTCGCAATACACAGCAGCATTGCTGAACTGCTCGCAAAATGTCCGTTTCTCCCCTCGCCACAGCTTCCGGTGTTTGTTAACAGTGATTGCCTCCCTATCCCGTAAGGCATAACACGCTCAGCTTCATCAAATGAGTGGGTAGCCCCTCTCAACCAAGAGAACTCCAGCACGCACAGTCCTATCTCTGAACTTTCTTCCGTGGACCCTTCCCTGGTCCCCTCCAGGTTTACTCCATACCCCCACTAACCGGTACAACTATGCGCACAAACTCTACGCCAACCCCATTTACCCATCAATGCCCAGATTATCATCATAAAACTTCAAACAACGTACTCCACAAGCGCATGAGCCACACAGGCCAGTGAGCGGAAAACCACTCAACCTACATCATTTTTACCTGATCAATTACCTATCAACCACCTAGCATGTCGCGCTTAAATAAAGGGACTAAAATGCTGTTTGCACTTCTAGCTTACCAGAGTAACTCGAAACCAGTGATGTAATTAATCGGGGCGATTAATTAGCGATGCAATGAATCTGAATCCTAGGCTAGGATTAATTAAGTTTCGATTATTAATTAAAGTGGAGTTAGAACACCAGATCTAGATGTTCCATGTGGCTTTCCTGCCTGCTAGTGCCGGCGGCTAATAGGCGGACGGGTACCGTCCTTCTAAAACTAGACGAGTCCCGTCCGAGTTACCATATCTAGTATAGCTCACTCCGCTATCGGATTAGAACTACCGCTATAACTCATGAAATTCGGTAGCGCCTGTGGATACGCGCCTGCCTGTTTCTAGCTTCTTAATTGGTCTAGCTGTAAATAAAGATCTGATGGCTTGCTAAATATTACTATTGGTCAAATGGGTGAAATGGCTGTGCCTAGCGTGTATCCACAGGCGCTACCGAATTTCATGAGTTGATGCGGTATTTCGAGTGGTTTTACTTGAAGTCCATCAACCACTAATTTTACTCAAAGCAAATCGCTGACTTTAACTTGTATAGTCTTGATTTATCCGAGCTATAAGCTCATTATAAACTCTACTAAAGTTAGGACTGAACTACAATACAACTCTCCTCCTGTTCCGTGGCAGCATACAAGGCTTCTTGTTCATCGATATCCCGCTGAGCTATCTTCCACAGCTCGCCCATACCTCTTCTGCTTGTAAACAGTCGTCCGTTCTCGGTCTCCTCAGCTACTTGTGCTTCAATTCGATCAGCTTCTGCTTTATCCCAGTCTAAGTAAGCCATCATCTCTTCTTTAGTCCATTCTTTGCGACCCGTCGAGGTTTTGCAGCACCTCCCCATCTGCTTATAATCAAGACACCAACTGTAGCTTGCTTTTGGGTATCCCAAAGGTAAGCCCATTGCTTTTCGATACTGGCGATTACCAAGCCAGGCTCCTGGGGGTTGAGCCTTATACCAATCCTCTCTAGACTTGACGTATCTCTGATGGATGGCTCGTGGATCGTCATGCCTCAGATGTGTAGTTGGGTTTGAAGCTAGATCTCTCGAATTTAACTGTGGTGACTAGTGATGTTGTACAGTATGTACAACCGTGTTGTACGTACGTACGTACAGAAAGAAAAAGTACGTACACGTACTATGTACGTACAATGGGATCCACAATACTCCTAATAGCGGAATTTGTGGGTCATATTGTACAAATACGGGGGGCTGTACAAAAACTCCGTTGGCTGAGCAGCTCAACACACTCTGCCATTCTCTCCCAATTGAAGGTATCGCCAAAAAGATGGCGCCCACCCAAGCTAATGCTGCCTTCGTTTGGCGACAGTTTATCGACCTCGGCCGCTCTAACTCCAAGAAAAGCAAGCGATACAGATGCCGTCACTGCCAAAAGGATTTTGCAGCGACCTCTGTTGGGAGGCCGAAAGAGCATCTCGCTGCGTGTGAGAAATGGCAAGCCAAGCAGCGACAAGAGCGTCAAGCTCAAGATAACGCTGGCTATCTTCCCTCATATTCAGAAGCTATACAAAAGAAGATAACCGAGGTCGGAATTCAGCATATCTCGCAGGACGAGAGTCACAGTTACGCCTATGATGCCGCCGCTGCTGTAATCGCCGGCGGTCGGCCCTTCAGCCTCTTCGAGAGCCGCCGTTGGCGTTATTTCTTCACTCGCATTAAGCCTGGCTGGAAGCCTCCTAGCCGCGCCGCCATCACGAGAATCTTTCCCGACTTCTATCAGGAACTCTATGACGAGGTTTTCAAACGCATTACCAGCTCAGAATGGTTCAACATCATATTTGACGCTTCCGATAATGTCTCGGGTCACAGAATCGTTAATATCTCGGTACAGCTACCAGACGGCCCAGCCTTCTACTGGAAAACGTTTGACACGGGAGACGAACAGCACACAGCGGAGAACTGGGTGAAGCTGATATGGGGAGAAATGCAGCAACTGTGCGGCGGTGATCTCTCCAGAATCAATTCTATCTGTACAGATACCGAAAACACGATGCGCTCTGTACACGGCTTGCTAGGGAGATTCCCAGAGCTCTCACATATCAACTTCTCTCTATGCGATTCTCACGGCCTTCAGCTTCTAATTAAAGATATCCTTCTTCTTCCATTCTTTGAGGATCTCTGTAATAACGTCAGCACCCTTCTCAAGTTCTTCTCACGGTCTAAATTACAATTGCAAAGATTGAGAATGTGCCAACGCACAAGGTGGAACGGAGTAACTCGCGCGCTGATCAGAAGGTACCGGTAAATCATTAGCTGTGACTGAGAAATCGATATACTAACTCGCTCGTTCCGAATAGTATAATTACACGCTGGGGTTCTCAGTACAAGTCTTTATTCTCCCTCCTCCGTTCTCGAGACCCTGCCAGAGACTGGTCTATTCGAAAAGATGTACGGGATGAGCTGCAATCTCAAGACTGCCCTGTTCTCCTGCCCGAAGCGGTTCGAATCATCAAAGACAACAGCTTCTGGCTAAAACTGGAGGCTGCGATTGCTGTGCTAAAACCCGTGAACGAATTTCAACACGCTTCCGAGGCTGATGGGGCGGGAATCGCACACGTTGTAAATCGCTGGCTGCAAATCAAAAGCAAATGGTCTGAGATGGGAGAGGCTGATCAGTTTCCTGATATTCCGTGGGACGACATTGACGCTATATTCAAAGCCCGGCTCGATAAGCAAACGTACGATATACATTGGATCGCTGATGCCCTCCGGCCTGATACAACAGGTCCAAATTCGAAACTGCCGCCTAGCGTCTTTGCGCGCGTACAAGAGTATTTGCAGAAACAGCTGAAAAACGACGACGAATATCACCGTGCCCTTTCCGAATTCACACACTTCCGAATGCGTACAGGCGGCCCAGATGGCTTGTTTAATAAGCACAGCGCTGTATACGATGATGGCTTCAAGCCAGCAATGGCGTGGCAGTGCCTCCTCAACCAGGGCTCGATTCTGGCTAGGGTAGCCGTGAAGGTAATGAACACGCTTGCGAACTCTGTGCCCTCAGAACGAAGTTTCTCTGCTATTAGTTTCATACACACGAAAGCTCGAAATCGCCTTACGCCCATGCACGCTGACATGCAGGCCTTCATTTTTATGAACGACCGCGTATTAGATCGCCTTAAGGATCAGAAGTACGCCCATAAAAAGCGCTGGGCGGATCTTGTTGAAAAGGGAAGATTCATACTTCTTTTTTTCATTCAAAATATGCAGTAGGAGAATTACTGTTTATGTACAGGCACCACCTCCGTGGAATGTTCCACCTTGTTCCATACCTTGCCACCGACTTGGTCGTCTCACATTTGTGATCTCCAACAGATCTTGAGGAGAAGGACTGGCTAGAACTCGAAGATTCATATCTCGAGTTATTTGTGAATGCGCAGGGCAAGAAGGTCTGGATGGATGGTGTGATGGCCTCCACCAGTGGAGATTTTGAGTGGGAGGGTGTATTACAGTCGACGGGTGATATATTGGGGGTTGGCACTGAGGTGGAATCAGAGGTTTGAGGCCAGAATGGCAGAAGACGAGGACCGTGAGAAGCCTACTAAGTTACCGGTATTACCTAAAAAGGAAGGGGGAAATTTGTATGGTACATATTTGTACGTACAATAAAGTTGTACGTACGTACAGCGGCTAAAATACAGTACGTACGTACGTACGTGTACAAGAAATTGCATCACTACTTTTGGCGACTTCCATTTTTTTTCTGACCAATCACCTTCGGCTCTGTCACTGAAATCCTCTTTCACTTGGCTGCCCTCCTGACCCCTGTCGACGCCATGTTATTTCCCCCGCAAATGACGCTGTCCGAGGTACTTCACCATCCGACAGGGGTCTCCTCTTTAACTTAAAATGGGAGAGACAATAAGGATGTAGGAAGATCAAGATGGATGAATGGGGTGGGATGAAGTTTCGAGAGCATCCTTGGAGGGTTGATTGGGCCAGCCTGGTAGATCTGGTACTCAAAGATATCAAGCAACGCAAGGGCATACTGTGGCAACACGAGGTCCATTCTTGTTGAGGTCTTGTCAATGAAGCTTTTGTGGCTGATTGTTGCTGCTCTCTCGTCGATGACCTGGAATGGAATAGAGAAGCAGGCGAAGATGCGTCGATGAGAATAGTCGAGGTGGAACACGGCGATGTCCCAAAAAAAAGTTCCCGTGATTCGGCCGCTGGATTGGATATCATCACGACGTACCATTCTCTCATGCCAACACCAGCTGCAGTCCTCCGCCAACAAGCTTGACTCAAACCACACAGGTGCCTCCGAGACAGGATGGACTAAACCACGACAGCATCCTCAGCACTGGCGGTTGAATAGACACCACCGTGTGCCTCTCTTGGAGCGTCGGAACCATCTGAACAGTCCCATTGACACTTGCGACTGGCGCACAGCATGGTGTCGCACGAACCACTTGATGACCTTTGATACCACGGGCCAGCAAAAGCACTGAACACGGAATCCATGAGATCCAACTCTGAGCATTGAGGATGGTGCTGTGTGTATTATTGTTGAACTCGTCAACCTGCTCCCATGGTACTTGTGTCATTCACAGACAGCCCAGGCAGATGAGCTCCCATGACCTTCAGGTCCAACCAAGAAGAACCTTCACTCAGTCGCGACGCTCGAATCCGCGCTCCAGCGTCGGTGGCAATGCTGTCAGCGACAGGCAGCCTTGATCTGCTTGACTTGTCGAGGTATTGCTGGAGACTCGTTTCAGTCTTGAGGTGTGGCGAGTTGAGGACCTCGGGCCATGGTTGTCAATCGTCTTTGGTGCCCCTGTCGTTGCGAAGAGTAGAGCTGGTTATGTATGTCTACGTGCTGATCAACATCGTCCCGCCCATTGGTTTAAAGCCTGGGTCGAAGCGCTGGATGGGTCGGTAGTTTGCTGTTGGGGAGTGAGGGGCTGGGGATCAACGGTGTCGGAGGCATTGATGATGCTTAACAGACTCCGTGATGGGCTGAGCAGGGAGGAGCCAAGAACGTAGCACACAAGACCGTGAATTAACCAGCGTCGAGATGCGCCATCCGCTGCTGTTACATAGTTGTTAAACCGTGTTGCGCACGCGTTATCAGCAAATTCGTGGGTCCAGAACTTCGGCAGCTTGAAGTTCACAGGCGTATCCATTACAGCCTGGCAGGATCCTCAAACCAGAAACTGGTGGGCAATGATGATGAAGTTTCTCGTCTTGGCGAAGTGACATTGCTTTCGGCACAGACGATGCCACTTCAAGAGCTGAACAAGGCTGTGCAACACCAAATACAATTGGCCCGGGGAAGAGGAACTAGATCCTTTAGCTTGCAGCTAAAATCAGGGAACGCGCGGATGAATCCAAGGCGAGAGTCATGATGGTCCCTGCAGATTAGAGAGTTTTTAATTTGGTTGCCGAGAATTTGCATTGTTTCGGCTAAATTAAGTGCGTTTTGCTGAAGGTAGAATTTCGATGGCTTGGATACTTCGCCGAATTTTCCGAATCACACGGTAACTTCGGCGCGGGGCCAGTTATTCGCTATCCGATGGACTCATATCCAAGAATCTCACTGAGCAAGTCATCTGTATCATATAAGAATTATCTCCAACAAGTTCACCACAGTATACATATACGTGGCTCGTCAAGGCTGCAGTCTGCAAAAACACCAATCGTGAACCACACACATGAAGATCAATAAGCCGTTTGGCTACTTCGTTACACATTAAAAAATCTATATAAATGTTGTTCTAGTCGGGACTTCTCTCCTCTCTTTTATGCATCCAATATTCTATCGGATAATGATCTATACAACGCTATACTTGCGCTGGTGATGCAAATGCTTAGTCGAGCTGGCTTCGCTAACAGCATTATCGTTCTGATCCTCAGCAGTAGAATCATCATCCTCCTGCTGCTGCTGACCCTGATGTACAATCTGCGTGACGACAGTCTTCTTGATACCCTCGATCTTCTCACGTTCCTTGAGCTCGTACTCATCCTCCTCTCCAAGCTCGATGTGTGTTCGGTGATGCGCGCTAGCAAGAGTCTGGCCGAATCGTGTGCCGTGGGGTCGAGATGTTCCCGTCGTTCGTGATCGAGAGCTGTAGTCGTGGTTGCGAGGATCGTTGTTGCCGGCTCGGACGACCTTTCCAATAAGATCGGCCATGTTCATCTCGATTTGAAGTTTGAGGAGGTAGACGAGAGGATGGAATTGAATGTAGCTAGAGAGAATTAGCAAATACGAGATATTTTTCCATGGTATTGGACTTACACAAAGCCGTTGGGTAGAGACATCATGCAGATGAGCAGTACATCCAGAGCAATCGAGATACCACACAAGAACATGTTCATTTGATAGAGTCGAGTATACTTTTGCAGACCATTGGCAACTAGTCGCTGCTTGACGACGTAGATGAAGTAAAAGTTGAGGGCAGCATCCATAAGAGCGAAAATGACCTTCTCGCATCGATCCCAGATCTCGTTCAGGTGGATATAAGACTCGCTAATCTGAAGTCGAGCGGGGACCCAGATGCAAAATACGCTGATGTTGACGGCGAATAGGATAAGGAAGCAGAGCCATTTGAGCTTTGTGCCGTTGGATCGAACCACCATTAATAGGGATACTCGGTTGATGATAATCTGGATGAGGCACTGGACCTGTGTTGACCACCAAACAACTATACAATGTTAGCACATATCCCAACACTCAATATCTGGCTCGTCTTACTGATAAAGAAGAAGAACTGCATGCTCGGCGGAATGTCACCCCGAAGATAAAACCAGCACATAACGCCCAGGATAAAACTCGAAATGACCTCGGCCCAAATCAACGCGACATAACTGGTGATCCTCTTCCTGCGATTCCACGCAGACCGCGTCTGTCGAATACCCTTTGCGATGTTAAAGAGTGTAACGCCCAACGACAAGCCCCAAGCGATGGAGGCGACGTTCATGTCGGTCTCATTGGGAAGATCGTCGACATAGTTGTCAGGAACAAGAAACCCTCTTCCTGTCATCTTGAAGTCAGGTCTTGGTGTTGCAGCCGAACCGAAAAGCAGCTGCTGGAAAAGGAATGTGGGAGGCGCCAGAAAAAAGCAAACCCGGCGGAGGCTCCTTATGGATTTAACAGGCATTGTCAACTGCAGAATCTACAGCAGATGCCGTAGTGTCAGTAGATTAGTATTCCCTGACTAACAGACCCCTGTTTTTTCTAGGTACTGCCGATCTCTATTGGAGGCTCCAGGCGGTTTGGTGGCTTGCGTTTGAGCAACGGCGTGCTGAACCAAATAGGTTAGCAAGATGCCGAACTAGGCGGGGGGCATAAAGGATGAGACTGGGTTTCAGCAGAGTTGATACCGAATGGGTGAATAGGATTCTCGTCTTTCTGTCGCCCCGACAAGTTGTAAGGCTAAGCTGGGAGACCAGACGAGAAGTCCATTCATAGGTGACCCCTGAATCGTGGTGATAGTTAAGATAGCTAGCCTGGCTTCAATGGAAATATCGCATGCCAAGACTGTTTGTATAGAGTAATTAGATGGAGTGGGTGCTGATAATGGATATATTTGAGACATGAGGTAAAGAACACCAGAAGATTGATGAGTTTGTCGGCTGTTGGTGATAGTAACTGTCTAAGCGTCATCATGCCCAGAAACCCATCTCACCAGTTGTTTCAGGCCAAATCCTTACCATCAAACCCTCAATCCTACACGAATCACCGCCTCAATATCTCTCACACTCCCATCGTATTGGAGCCCGATGCTCATCCCCTGAGTTAAGGCGTCGTCGGTGTAACATTGACTGAGTCAGTTCCCCGCTAAGATTCTGTAGTGTTGATGCAGATCACGGGAATCGTGGGGCTCCCCCTTTTTTTTAGAAAACTTGAAACTTTAGTGTCTTGGTTTTTGATTCAGTCATTTCTGATCAAGATTTGATTCAATCGCGATATCCGTTGTAGATCTCCCATGTCTGTTCGCGGGCGGCCTCAACGGTCGAGTTAGCCAAACATTTCGAAGTACAAAACTTACATGAATCAAGCTCTCGGCGAAAGTATAAATGTTATTGCTGTTGGAGATTCACATGCAGGCGCTTCGAGAAGCCTGCGAGCGCTATAATTTCTTGAGGCGACGCTAATACATTGGCGTCTGACACCTGGCGGCTCTTTAGTCATAGAATTGTTCGGCGAATGTGTCTCGCTGGTTCAAAAACCCTAGCGCGAGTCAACATCATGCCCCTGGACTTTGTGAGGTCTAACTAGATAAAGTATTGTTAAGCTTTGCAACTCGGCGACAGAAATCCGAAGCAGCCGAATAGTAGTCATGATAAACTTGACACGACCCGAACATTTACGGTGTGAGGACGATCATCACGAGTCAAATCTGTGGAGGATAAGGAAGAGTATGACTTGGAAGAGTTTCATGCTATCTCTGGTGTGAAGAGATGCCATGCTTCGCTGCGGTGACACGTGGCTCTTGACGCCTGGTTTTGTTGGAGACTTTTAGAGTTTTAAGCGTTGTAAAGAAGACAAAGAAAAGTTCTTACTGGTGGGTAACAAAGTCAACCATAAAATGCGCACATAGACGAGGCAGACCGCTGAACAGAGATTTCTCCCAAAAGAAGCAACTGATGCCGAGAAATGCCCATTATTCATTGTACAGGGTGGCGTTCTTGGTGTTGAGTCGACCTTGTTCGAATATTGAAGGGCGATGAGAATGGATCCTTAATGACTCGACTGTGCCGACGCAGTCTAACCCCTGGTAGCTTAGTCTCTGGCTAATATTTTCTCTGCCAGATGAAATCATCATTCCAATGTCATTCCATAGGGCTGCTGTCAGAACATTCTCTCACTTCGCAAAAACGTGGCATTCGTTCTCTGTCTCGTGGCTTCTGGCAACAAAGTTCAGACTAGGTATTAGTTCTCCGGGGAGCAGCAAATTCAGTTACTTTATCCTCACTCTCCCGAGAGTAAATCTCTCAACCCCTGTTGCGCTTTGACTTCCGTCGTGCCCCGGATTCAGCACTGACGATCTCTGGACCCAACATTCGGGAACGTGTGTAACCGGGCTACAGAGGCAGAGATCAGCATATCGAACAGACCTGACCCAGTGGTGTTACGTTCGCGAATCGTCGGGGGGATGGACTTGGTCAGCGTGAGACATATGACCTTCCATTGCGTGCCTGAAACTTGATGACTCTCTAGTCTTTGATACTACCTATTTTTTCAAGCTTCTAGACTTCAGAACTAAAGGTCCGGAACCAATTTGGCCCCAACGTAAAATCTCTTCAGTTGAGGAAGTCAGTGACATGCTATATATCGAGGAGAGATAACCTCCCCTCTTTTTATAGCAGATCTCACGACCCAGATCCTCTCGAATGCATCACTCATCCACTGATCGGCTACTCAGTTACCAAGACCTCGGTAGAACTACTACAGCCCGCAGGGATATCACTTGCAAACCCACTACTCCTGGCTAATTATATATCCTAATTAGATATCTTAGGTTAGATAGTAACTTCTAATTTTTGTTTATATTGCGCAGTAGTGCTGGGTGAAAGTATATATATATATATATATATATTTTTTTTTTTTTATGAAACTTGGTTTTTTTTTATTTTTTATTGAGATGAGAGTTCTTCTCGGGTTTATATCTCTAGATGATTTCATCTAGGACTTTGAACTTTAAATCTAGGACTTTCAGACTAACAGTCTGAATCCTGAAGGGAAGGGGGATCCCCGGATTTTCCAACGCTAATTAGCGAGGCTATTATAAGGTAAAGAATTAAAGATTAATATATCTATATATAATATAAGATTTTACTTATTAAATTAGTAGATAAAGAGGTATAGGGACTTGCCTCAAGTAACGCACTAACAAGTAATATCCCTGCGGGCTGTAAAATCGTCCACCTGGACCTGGTTCAGTGCAGGGTTCTAGCCTCGGCGTGTAACCCGCGCTAATATTCGTATCCTATCTTGGTAGCAAATCATTGGCTCAGTTTGCCGACCTAAGTCATCAGATCTGGTCCAGATACAAGGTCCAATGCCCATTTGTGGATTCTCTGAGATGATAACATGGGCCCTCGATTTCAATTCCCATGTGCTTAATTGATAGGCTTTTTTATCATTCTCGATCGTATTCTTGCTCTCCGTCTCATCGGGAAATCACGCGCCGAGTACCGCGGCCGACCGTGCTTGTTCTTATCTTGAAATGAATCCACCCAACCTCGCAAGCATGGTATATAAAAGTCCGGAGATCGACTTGCTAATGCTTGATATCATGGGTTCGCAATTTTAATCCTGTATACCTCATATCGGATCACATCATTCAGTCCACAATGGAAATGGGTAGCTGGGTTGATCAAAGTCCAGGATATCAGAGAACATGTGTGGGTCCAAAAGATCAAAGTCACCATCTCAATAAGTCCAGTAACGAGGGATTATGGTATCAGACGCAATGCCCCGCTCTAATCCCATGTCGTTCACATGGTCGATCAGTAAGGAGTATGGCATCGTGTTCCAGGCTCAATATAGAGTCCCAAAGTTTAGCGGTATCATTCCGCTGCGCCATATTCCTTGGAATCCTTACCTGCCGCATTTTAGTCCATTTATAGCCTTTTTACTATCTGTTGCCCCCGAGATTTCTTGCCTTATATGTAAGTGCCTACGCGAAATGCTTTTGTGCCCAGGCTTGCAAACAAATAAATCAAATCCAAATCTATTCAAATCAAATCAAATCTATCCAAATCAAATCAAATCAAATGGGCCATAATGTTATCCAAATCAAATCAAATCGCGATGTCCAGATTTATTTGGATATCTGGCTATTTGGATAAGCCCCACTTCTGTGATCTGGCCCAATCACTGCCAGTCATTACGCCCCTACCCGCGTCGCGTAAGGTTACACGAAATTCTGTTTTCCTACCACCTTGCGACGCGCTGCATACGAAATCAGTTTGTTCTAAGCCTATGTCGGCCTTGCAATGAACACACCCCACTACTCCTTAAGTGGCCTGGTCTGAGAATATTGTACAGCGATCGGCAATTCACGATAATTCTCGTGGTTTATTTGATATGGTTCAATATGCGAATACTGACCAGGCGTCAAGAGCTCTTTCCAGTGCTCCTTCTACTGCTTTTAGCCTCCTTGATAGCCCTGACCTCGGTTCGTCAGAGACCAAAGGAGGAGCGGCGGATGACGCATCATTTTCGGTCGACTATATCGGCTATGAAGGCATCGACTGGAATCGCCTTTCGGGGTATTCCATTCGCAAACATCAAAGAAGGCCGCGGACAGGGTGGGTATGGGAACACGGATTCGATATCGAAAAAGACGGCTCCGGTCACCGATTCTGGCTTTGCAAAATGTGTCACCAGAAGAAGGCTACGATCACCCACATGTACGACGCTGCATCTACGAGCCAAGCAAACGGTCATATGGAAGATATCCACCGTATCAATAAAGACGGATCCATGCCACCGCAGAGGAAGAAACAACGCACTCTTTTCGACATGGTTGACCTAGACCCTCATCGGCCAAAGGATCAAGCCTTGATGAACGCATTTATAGCATCATTCGAACCTGCCCGCTTTCAACATTTACTCATACGTTGGGTGGCATGCGATCATATCCCATTTTACAAGCTTGAGAGCCCATACTTTCGCGATCTTATGGCGTACGCAAACAGTGCCATCGTGGATTCGGGAAGTCTTCCCACCCATAGCACGATTCGCGAATGGATTGTTCGGACCTTCAGTCGTCATAAAGGCGTCGTGACGGAATTACTTGGCCGTTCTCTCAGCCGCATTAATATCTCCTTTGATGCGTGGTCGTCTCGCAGGCTTACCTCTCTGCTCGGCCTCACCGTGCACTTTCTTGATGATGAAGGGAAGTTCCGTACATTTCTCCTAGGCTTGCCACGGATTGAAGGTCGCCACGGCGGCGAAAACCTTGCCGACCGCGTTAGCGAGATACTACATGAATACGGGATCGAGGAGCGCACTGGGTACTTTGTCACAGAT